AACCATATTTAGACCTTAAAATTTACAGGGGAGGGGTATGAGAAGGACCCTTTCACTGTAAAAAAGGAATTTATGTTACAAGACCGGAACCTATTTAGCTAGCCCGGTCAAAATTGGGAAAAAAACGTAAAATGCTATCAATAAGTAGAGTACATTGCCCCGGGGCTGGCTAACATCCTGGATCCCATATTTAGACCTTCATATTTTTACAGGGAAGGGTTATGGGAGGGACCCTTCCACTGTCAAAAGGAATTTGTGTTAAAATACGGAAAACCTTTTTAGCTAGCCCGGATAAAATTGGAAAAACCCCATATAATACTATTATATGTATTTCTGAATTAGAGACATTGCCCGCAATGTACTCTTATCTACAAATACTTATAATAGTATTATACGTGTTTTTTCCAATTTTATCCGGGCTAGCTAAAAAGGTTCTCGGTCGTGTAACATAAATTCCTTTTAATAGTGGAAGGGTCCCTCCCATACCCCTCCCCTGTAAAAATATGAAGGTCTAAATATAGGATCCAGGATGTAGCCAGCCCCGGGGCAATGTACTCTTATGTACAAATACTTATAATAGTATTATACTTTTTTTTCAATTTGATCAGGGCTAGCTAAACAGGTTCCCGGTCTTGTAACATAAATTCCTTTTGACAGTGGACGAGTCTATCCCATACCCCTCCCCTGTAAAAATATGAAGGTCTAAATAGGGGATGTTAGCCAACCCCCAGGGCAATGTACTCTACTTATAATAGTATTAAACTGGTATTTTTCAAATTGTGACTGGGCTAGCTAAATAGGTTCCCGGTTTTGTTACACAAATTCCTTTTGACTGTCTAAGGTCCCTATCCATACCCATCCCCTGTAAAAATGTGAAGGTCTTAATATGGGATCCAGGATGTTAGCCAGCCTCTCGGGCAATGTACTCTTATTACTCTTACAAATACTTATTATAATTCCCGGTTGGTTCCCGGTCTTGTAACATAAATTCCTTTTGACAGTCGAAGGGTCCCTTCCCCTGTATAAATATGAAGGTCTAAGTATAGGGTCCAGGATACTTGCCAGTACCCCGGGCAATGTACTCTACGTATAATAGTATTATACGTTTTTTTTTCAAATTTTGACCGGGTTAGCTAAATAGGTTTTCGGTCTTGTAACATAAATTCCTTTTGACAGTCGAAAGGTCTTTCCCATACCCCTCCGTTGTAAAAATATGAAGGCCTTAATATAGGATCCAGGATGTTAGTCAGCCCCCGGGCAGTGTACTCTTATAATAGTATTATACGTTTTTTTCTCCAATTTTGACCGGACTAGCTAAATAAGTTCCAGGTATTGTAACATAGCATCCTTTTGAAACTTGAAAGGTCTCTCCCATATCCTTCCCCTGTAAAAATATGAATGTGTAAATATTGGATCCAGGATCTTAGCAAGCCCCTCGGGTAATGTACTCTTATGTACAAATACTTATAGTATTAAACGGGTTGTTTTTCCAATTTTGACCGGGCTAGCTAAATATTCTCATTTTGGTCAGGCTAGCTGCATTGGTTTGGGGTCCTCACTCTTCTTCTTTAAGTGATGTGTTTGCTCTTCTTCTTTAACACGGTTTATAATGGGTTATTAAAGTTTTTTGAAAAAAAAATTATTAGGACATTTACGGTAATTTGAATAGGGAACCGGGATCGCCATTCGAATAGTCAATAGCGAATAGGGAATAACCTTCCAACTTCTGATTGCCTCGTCATCTTTCTTTTCATTTTGAAGTTATCATAGACGATCTGAAAGTAAACAATGAACCTGGTTTGACTATATCGATAAGAACACTGTTCCTGCATATTACGTTTTTGGTTGCCGCGACCGGATCAGTTTGTCTATGGAATGAGGAAAGTTTTATACGGTTTCTTCAGTCAAAAATTCAGAAAAATTAACAAGATATAGAAAATTTAACACTTAAAATTCAAGACTTAGAACAAAGCCAATCAGGCCGTACAGCTGACAATAATTTTGTCAGACGCAATGAAACTCTTGGCACAATTTCGGGTTATCATACAAATGAAACCTTAGAATTTATCGGGAAAATTTAATCAAATCACACAATGAGACACCTGTCGGAACTCCTCTACAATTAGCTGAATACTCACATCGACGCACTAGCTATCTGTGCGATCAGATGTAAGTGACACACCTGAGGGCTTCAGTGACCACACTGATCAAGGTAGTTCACTCACCGAGGGCGTGTGTATTAGCACTCCTAAAGGACATGTGGGACGACCTACAAAACCCCGATTATGTACCGGAAACCTCATCACTTGAATTACCTAATGTAAATAGTTGGGGTAGGATACGAGTAGACCATGCTCAGGTCAATGATACTCACCGTCAATAGAAACGCAACACCCTAATTTTAGGATGAAAATTATATACAGGTTATAACTATGTACCGAAAAAGTTTGGACATCTTTTACTTTGCCAAATCAGATATTTAACGGTTGAATGAAATTCTTTCCACCACCCCGGAAGTTGCTTTTTAGCCCTCTTAACAGAAGTCAAAATTTTGCATTTTTAATAAAATTTTAACATATTTTGGGTTTTCAAGGTTTTGAAGCTGTTAATCATAAGTACCGTATAAAATGCCGGGGAAAAATCCTTATTTCTTAACCGGATATGATGCTTATATTTCCTCAAAATGACTGATAGCAAGAAGGGGGGGCGTTTTAAGAGTTATGTGTTACCTCCTAAAGTTAATGATAACATTAAAAATGAATATGTTTAGGTAAAAAGTAAATTTACAAAAAATTAATGCTTCATTTAAACATTAAATGTTATTTTTAGATCTTAGAAAGAAACAATTAAATACCCGGTAAATCTTAAAACATCCCGTCTTCTGACCATTTAATTAAAACGTGCTAGTCCGCCATATACAACAAATGAAGCCCGATTTCTACCATGCATTTGGTTTATTAATATCTTAATCTGAGCGAAATTAATATTCTTGGGCATTTTTAAATGCATGTTTTTCAGATACTGCGGTCGAATTTTCCTGAACTTGGCGTAGTGTAGCAACTTTTGAACTTCCGTTCAAGAAACTGTTATTTATGCTATTGAAACACATGAGCCTGATGAGTCGATATATAGTGTGCATTTGCATCTCTTTTTTTCTTTATTTTGTGAATTTCCAGCATAAGCAATGAAAATCAATCATTTTGAGGAAATATAGGCATCACATCCGGTAAAGAAAGAAGGATTTTCCCCCGGCATTTTAGTACAATACTTATGATTAACAGCTACAACACCTTGAAAACCCAAAATATTGTTAAAATTTTTATTTAAAATGCAAAATTTTGATTTCTGTTAAAAGGGCTAAAAAGCAACTTCCGGTAGTGGAAAGAAATTCATTCAACCGTTAAATAATTGATTTGGCAAAGTAAAAGTTGTCCTAACTTTTTTGGTACATAGTTATATCCCGTATATAATTTTCAACCTAAAATTAGGGTATTGCGTTTCTATTGACGGTGAGTATACCTGCATGAAACCCCGCAAAGTTTGCATACTAGTAATTCAAACCCAATCAGCCAGTCCGACTTAGGTAGCGGAGATCTTCAGAGTTCTGTTAAATTCAAACGAAAACCAAAAGAACCTGACACTTATATGTACATGTATGATGGGAAATCTACGGATTTCAAAGACTACACATTTCGAACAGGTTGCTTCCTGGAATCTATGAAACAAATTTGAAATAACCCTACAATTATGCATGTCATTGCGGGGAAATACTCAAAATCTACTTAAGGTAGGTCCCTACTCAGGAGATTTAATGGTTTAAATGGAATTTTTTCTTTTGAAATCATTAGAATAACACTTAATCTAAATAAAAAGCATATAAAATAAATAACTTTTCATGTTATTTTTCAAATTAGAGTGCCTCGATGACGTATACCCCCTTTTTTCACAACACTATTTCATCCAAGCTCAATATATGGCTCATATCAAAAGCAATATCAAAGCAAAATTACTTTCAAATATATTTTTTTATTCATTAATATGTAGGAAAGGCATAACCAGTCTCATATATGAATATTTATTTTATAACTTTTTTTTGGAATATGATATCAATTTGGTGCTTTAAAATTTTTTACAATATCGTCATTTTTACAATTTTTTTCATAAAGTAATGGATAAACACATTCTTTTTTCATTTAAAATACTAGATTTATATCTGTTGCAACTAAAAAGCCAAAAAAAAATTAGTACTTTTCAGGCTTTTTATTTTTCTACACCTTCTAGATCATGTATACCCCCCTTGCCGATCAAACAAATTCAACTCAAAAATACCAGTAACAAATATATTTAAAAGAAAAATCACACTCAAATATCATTTTCATGCATTATAAAACATAACAAGTAAATTTGTCTTAAAAAAATCATTTAAATGCATTTTTTGATAACTCATCAACAAATGAAACATGTCCGTACATGTACAAATATGGCTAAACCAATGTAACATTCTTCTTTTCAGGCATGCACTCAAATACAAACAATTTAATACTGCTTTTAATTCAGTAATACCAGCATAGGACATAGATAAAGTTATGTTACAACTTAAAACTTTATGCTTGCTGCTCAGTTCTACTAATCCCTTCTTAGTAAATCCCTTCTTCGTGTGAATCCCTTCTTCGTGTGATTACTGTTGGATCTTTTGCTCGTATTGGGATCAACATTATCTTTTACTCTTGCCATAGTAGTTGAGTCGTTGTCCATAATCACAGTATCTACCTAAAAAATTTTAATATGTTGTACACAAATAAAATTTCTATGTTTGACTGATTTGATTGTACAATTAGTTTTTTAAAAAATTGTTGGATTGTTTTTGTTCTGGATGTACTTACCTTTCCCCGTAGATTCTTGATCTTCTCCAACATCTCACAGGCCATGGCAGGCTGAGGCTCCATAGCCTTCGCCGATCCAGTTGAGTTCTTACAGCACTTGTGTTGCCTGGGAGGATTACCCTTTAATTTGGCAGCTGCAAATACCATACTTTTTTTCCCATTACTGAAAAACCGACTATTTTCTTCGATTTTTCTCCAACAGAGAGGCAAGTCCTGTAAGATAAAGATATCTGTATTCCAATATATAAGTTAGACACCGTCATCACAGACCACGGCCAAAATGTACAATGCTCTCCCATTTTGGCAGTGGTTGAACAAGAAGAGAATATAAACTGGCAGCTCATTAAAATATTAACTAATACGAGTAAAGCATAGTCAGATGATGAACTCTGATGCATTCTTTCAATACCCAATCATAGTGAATGGAATATTTTTTTGTATATACTGCTGATATCAATTGTTGATTTCAATTGCAATGGAAACAAAAATTGTCATTGACTGAATACGATGTCGCAATAGAGATAAATATTCAAGATTACGAAACTTTATAGTGATCAAGCAGCCACGAGTAGGAGAGAGCTATATGCGGACTTCGGACTATGGCTTGAGACCATGGTTAGACACAAGAGAGGGGTAATGTAAAACATTAATTATTCAAACATATTCATAAACTAGAAAAATTGATTTCTCAAAAGCAGAGGACCACCATTGTCCATGTGACAATTAGTCTCTACAATGTATAGGTTTTGATACTTGGTACATTTACCTGTAAGACTATTATAAGCTCTCCCGGTACCCCGCTTCTGGCAATCACCATCAGATATAACCGCCAGACTCCCTTCACTCCTAAACAATAATATTTTTAATTAACGACATAATTTTGTAAAAAATAATTGCAAATTAAAATATAAGTAGGTCATGTATTGCTAGAAAATGGAATATAACAATTACAATCTCATCTCCTCCTGCAGACTTTTATTACAAGTTTCCCATGCCATTTGTCCAAATTGTTGCCTGACCTCTCTTCTTCTATTCTTCAGAGTTATTTGAGCAACGCTGGGTATGTTTAAAGCAGCCAGGAGTGAATTTACATGTGTTTCACCAAATCGGCAAATCCTCCATTTATTATTCCTGAAATGAGTTCTCAAACTTATAAACAAGTCAACACGGAAAGTGAATATATGACATGATTTTCCTTGTTTATTTTCTACATGTGTATGTGTGTATAATAAGGTACACTTGTTTGCATATGTATGTTTGAGAATAAAGGTGCTTTTAACAAAAAAGAAAGTCACATATATCATGTTTATATACTGACTATTACTGTTAAAATTAAATAACCCATATGATCCAATTTGAATATGTGAATAAACCATGTAATGAAATACAGATTACCTGCTGCTAGTTTGGTATGTACATCCCATGCATTTCTGCCATTTGAAGTCTGGTGTTTGCTTCCTGTTGCCATTTCAGTACTAGCCCACAGTCTGTAAATCTGCACTTGACAAGTAGTAGGGCTACACGTGCAAGGCCGAGTTTTGTGTTCCCCTACAATTGCAGTGGCTGTCCGCATAATTGACAACTGCTTAGACCATCCGCAAGAACCCCCAAGCTCAACTACACGTCTGCCCACTCTCCACTGATTCATTTTCTCATATCCTAAACCGAATATGTCTCTTCTTCTCTAACGACATGAAGTTCTCACCGTCACAGGCATAACTGTATGATAATGATAACTGCAATCTAAGTCACTTACTGGCACACCACTTGTTTTGTCACATGTTATAAATCTGTTTTGTTTATTCGATTGCTTCTTCCTTCATCTAATCCTTCAATTTTTCTAACCAGAGAGTCTTTAACAAACGTGCCTTTAAACCCTGGCATCCCGTAAACAAGAACGTAATCTTAAAAGTGCCAACTGGAAATGCTGAGCGCTATATAATACCTAAACCTCCTTGAAGGAGTAAATAAAGAAGAGTGTGATTTCGATGGCCTTTTAAATTTTGTACAGTCTAAATTGGGAACAGAAATGTTTTCTATCCCGCTTATTAGCCCTAATGAAGTGCTTTCCTTACTAAACAAACTAGATGTTAATAAATCATCAGGTGTAGATACCATCGGTCCACGTTTATTAAAACTTACTGCACAAATAATACATAAACCTGTAACCCATATTATAAACACTAGTATTACATCAGGTATTTTCCCGAAAAGTTTTAAACTTGCCAAAGTTACACCTATCTATAAAAAGGGAAACAAGCTAGATCCAAATAACTACAGACCCATTTCTATTTTACCGACATTATCAAAAACATAAAAACATTTGGCAAAATATGTACGATTACTATTTTCAGACTTTGATCTTTTAATAGAATCTCAATCAGGTTTCAGAGAATTGCACTCATGTCAAACAGCCCTTACTAACATTACAGATAAATGGTTATATGAAATGGACCAAGGCAAACTTGTTGGTACTGTCTTTCTCGACTTCAGTAGGGCTTTTGACTTAGTAAATCATGAAATTCTTCTTAAAAAGCTAGAGTGTTATAAATTTAATGAAATAACTTTACACTGGTTTCGATCTTATTTAAGTGACGGACTTCAAAGTGTCCATCTGTCTAACAAAAAATCATCTTATCAGCAAGTCACAGCGGGAGTTCCACAGGGGTCTATACTAGGACCTCTTTTGTTTTTACTGTACATTAATGATCTTCCACTTTATATCAAAAATTCAAACATAGATTTGTTTGCCGATGATGCCACTTTACATGTCCCCGGCAAAGATCCCCAATCTATAGTAAATTCATTATCAATGGATATTGCTTGTATAGAAAAATGGTGCACTCAAAATCAAATGATACAGTACTTAATGCCTCAAAAACGAAATGCATGTTAATAGGGACTCATCAGAAGAGATCAAAATTCTTAGAACATGATTTTCCCTTATACGTTTCGAACCAGAAATTAGACAATGTAACATATGAAAAAATTCTTGGGGTATATTTAGATAATTCTTTACAATACAATGTACATATCGACCATGTGTGTAAAACTCTGTCACGTAAAATTTCTGCACTCCGTAGAATAAAAAATATCTTCCCCTTCAAACACGCAAGTTGTTTTATAATGCATACATCATGCCTACCATTGATTACTGCCTAACAATTTGGGGAAATACATCCAGATCAAATCTTGACAGAGTTCATAAACTTCAAAAACGTGCTGCAAGGTATATTTTAGATGCTCCCCCTGATGCACCCTCACGACCCCTTTTTGATGAACTTGATTGGCTTACTGTTTATGAACAGCTTGCTGTAAATAAATATGTATTGTTATATAAATCCCTCTTTAATTATTGTCCTACTTATTTACATGAAATGTTTCAATTTCAAATTAATAACCAATATACTCTTCGATCTGAATCCAATGTTGATTTGTGTGTGCCAATTCATAAATGTAAACTTTTTGAAAATTCCTTCCAGTACTCTGGTGCCATTTTATGGAATGCTTTACCGGTGCACATAAAAATGTCACCAACTCTTAATACTTTCAAGAGACAAGTAAAACAATATGTAAAACAATGTCAGATTAATTTGTGATTCATGTTTATTTGTTTTTGTATATTTATGTATATATTTATAATATGGCTGTATATGTATAACTATGTATCTTTATATTGTTAATTGTCAGAAGGCCCTGGGGAAGAATAGTGGCTACACTAATCAGGTTACCTTCTTTAAATAAAGTATTATTTTTATTATTATTATTATTATTATTATTATAATGGTACTAACCCGGTAGAACTTGTAAAGACGGATTTGGTTTTAACATTTCGTATCGATAATCATATCCGGTAAATTGTGATGACGCGTTTGAGTAGGGACCAACCTTAAAGCGATTCGAATCAAGCCAAAAATTATCACGAAATCATATTCGCTCTGGAACAAATGTTCCATCTTCAAGGTCAAGAATCGGCCTTTCGATCTGAATTTCGAACTCGTAGGGGAGATAAAAATGAATCTGCCACAGATTAGGGTATGCCCTTCGTAGATTGGGATGTTTGGCTTTTCTTGGGATCCCTGATGATGCTAAAGAAATTTACATCATTGACCAATTCATATATTGGCTTGGTAGTCAAGAAATTGTCATTATCTTAGAAACGATTTTTTATTAGACACGGGTTACGGGATCACCCATCACCCTTATATCAGAAGAATATTTTGCAAAATTAGGAGATAGGAAACCCGAGCTACGCAGTGTTGAAACCACACTGACCTCGGCTGGGGGTAGTGCTTTGGTTGTATTAGGGAAATCTAACTTTAGAATAAAAATTGGCAAACACACGTACAATCATGAAGTTCTAGTTGTTAGACTAAATGATCGACTTCAGGGTATCTTGGGAATGGACTTTCTTAGTCAGAAATCTGCAGTACTGATAACAAAAAGTCGAAAACTCAAGATAGGCAAGGATTCTGTCCGTCTAAACCCAAGTGTAAGTCGTATTTATTCGTGTGCTAGAATAAGAGTCGATTTCTATTAATAGTGAATTGTTTATACAGGGATATATTGATGGTGAATATAGGGATGACGAAGGTCTGCTAGAGCCCTCTAAAGTTGTACAAAATAAAGAACTTCTTATGTGCAAGTCTTTAGTTACGCCAAAACATAAAGAAGTCATTTTCCCTGTAGCGAACGTGAACATTTGACCAAGAAGAAATTATATATTCTTCAAATCTTCCAGAGCATTTAGAAGAAATTATGCAGCGAACTTCTGAAAAATTTAATGAATCTCAAAAATTAGCCATTCGCAATCGTTTAAAAAAAATATCACGATAATTTCGTTGGTCCAGGGGAACCAATGGAAAGAATCTATTTAGTTGAACACAAAATAGAAATTGGGGACTCAGAACCATTCAAAATACCCCTAGAAGAATTCCTATATCCCATAGGGAAATAGTTGAACGTGAAATTCAGAATATGCTTGAAAATAACAACATTGAGACATCATGCTTCACCTATTTGTTTGACAACTAAACGAGACGGCAGTATAAGATTCTGCATTGATTATCGTCGTTTAAATGCTCAAACGAAGAATTTAAGGATACATTTCCAATACTTTGCATCTATAGATGAATCTTTAGAATCTTTAGCAGGTGCTCGTTTATGGCACGCCGATTGGTTCAAAAGTATTTTCTGCACGACCTTAAACAAAAATTACACGAGTACGTCAAAACTTACACAAAGTGCGAAAAATACACACAAAGTTATTGAAATTTACACAAACTATACAAAAACTACACAATCAACAAAATATTTACACGATATAATGAAAAAATTACACAAACGTAAAAACGAAAACTGCACAAGTGAGAATACAACATCGACATAATATACGACGCATCTTCATTGCGCACATTTCATTAATATTCATTAAGAACAGCTCAGTGTGGTTTAGATGCTTGAAACGTTATAAAACAAGAGGATGAGTAATGTGTTAACAATATTAATCTTTTAAAAAGATTCAGTCTTTCAGAATTAAGCTAGACTCTCAAGAATATGCACAACGTGTTTTATGCATGTAAAAATTGACAGGCACACAATATGCATATAAATGAACACCCCCGATTAAAAACATTCTACACATGTATAGATAACGTAAAAAGGGGGGTGCATATATATTATCAGTTGCGTGTTTTTATGTCATTCCTCTATATAGCAATATCTTTTGAAAGTTCAAAACAATGATATTATCATAGTAAAGGCAAATAAATAAAAAACAGCGTGAAGTACTAGTAATACAGGAGAGTTAACAACAAATCAAACTCTTCTCCTTCAACCCCACTGTGTGTACTTTGGTAATAATAAAGGATGTGGATGCGTGACCTTTTCATATCGAGAGATTCCTCCCTGCTGGTTCTGGAATGAAAGACACCTGACGCTAACCCATTTATAGTAACTGTTATTTGACACATCAATAATACCTTTTGATTGAAGGTTATTAGCAATTCATACAGAGATTTTGAAGCAATGTTGCTGTCATCTGAGTTGTGGAATTTGCCCGATACATTTTTAGAAATAAACAGTGAAAAAAAACGAGCAAATATTTGCCTAATTTTCATTTTAATATTGAAAAGAATATATCATTTTT